CACTGGAAGGTTTGGCTGCTTGCTTTGCCTCTAACGTCTTTTTGAGATGCTTAAGGGCTTTCTCATATCGATGTAAATGTGGTTCAATCACATCTTCTGCAATCTTAACTTCTTCTGCATTCACCCATAGGCCATTCTTCCGCAGCACATTTTTGACAAAAATCTTCCGCTAAAAAAGGTATTGCAACGGCTCAAAACCAAGAATAGGGATACCACTATTGAACAACCAAAGCACTAACCGCTTCTCCATCAGCAAGACTTAGTACATGGCCAGGCTTCCCAGCACGGCCCGTGCGTCCGGCACGATGCACAAAAAGACGGTCATTCTTGGGAAGGTCATAGTTCACAACACAATCAATGTCTTCCACATCAACTCCTCGGGATAAGACGTCCGAGCATATCAATACTCGGGTCTATACAATAAAAATGATCTTCAAAGTACACTGGGATATAAGAAGCTTGAGGATTGGCCGCAAAGGATCAATTAGCACTCACCGTGCCATTTTTGAATCGCTTCAGTACTTTTGCTCTTCGATTTCCGAAAAGGTCGCCAGTGAGTTGCTCCACAGTGAATTTTGATTTGGCAAGACGAGAGATAAGTATAGACAGACGTAGAGAGGATTCTCTATGAATGAATCAGTTGAGAAAGTCATGACAATAAATTCATGCCAACAGAAATAAATTTTCTTTTCTGTATCTCAAACATAAAAATAAAAAGAAGGGAGATAAGGCTTATAAAATTAGCATAGTGAGTATTAAAACAAATTGAACTTCACGGAGAATCCTATGAAATTTTTTTAAGGAAATCGCGATGATGGGCAGGGAAGAAAAAACTGAGTCAGAACTCATTGAAATGAATGTATTGACCAAGACGTTCCTAATTTCTTCTTACCACATCACATGTATTGCAAACAAAACAAAACCTAAAATCTCACTTTTCATTAGTGAACACAAGCACCCGCTTCCAATCCTCTTCCACAATCTTCAAAAATAGGACTAGTGGATGAAACTTCTGCTCCACGGCTAGCACAGTATGCCTTATACTCGAAGGAAGTGATAAAGCTCCAGAAACATGATCAAGAGAATGCAGATCAACAGCAACCTGAAAGAGACTAGTTTAGCAAATTTGATTTATTTTAAAAGAGGAAAGTTACGATAAAAATTGAACTTTTATATGATGTGAAAATAGGAACATAGCAGCATTAACCTCTTTACTCGTAGATTCATTAGCACGGAATAAACGAGGCTGATGGAGGTTCCACATATGCAATTCTTCAACATCTCTCGACAACGTTGCTGATAAAAGGATCTTTCGGGGTGCCAATCTCGTTGCAAGTATATCCGCCAAGCATGTAGCTCGCAAAAGTCCTAGAACTCTGCAGCTAAAAAATCAACAGCCTGGAATTTCCCAGTAACGCACCTCCACTTCGTCGCTCGACTACAGCTAACCATTCTTGCCTGACCATTGTGCCCATCCTATCGGCTTCGTCGACAACTAGGAATCTACATAGTGGCTATTCACTTTATATCAATGACAAGCCGGTAAATTCTGGTAAATTCACCTAAGAGAATCAAGTTTTACACCGCTGGCCCTGTCGGTCAGATGGTCCATGAGTCTACCAGGAGTTGCGATAATAACGTCCGAGACGCAGACACCTTCAGGAGCCAAATTGCGCTGTTCTTTTCGGAAATCGTTCGCTCCTGATAATGCAGAAATGACAGCTCCACAAGCGTTGTACGATTTGAATTCCTGTAGTGAAAAATAGGAGCAGGTTTTCAGATCATTACCATAAGCATTTGGATCACGTAGCGTGCTTATGATATTTATAACGGTACTTTAGAATGAAAAGCTGCAAACCTCCTCTATTTGCTTCACAAGTGTTTGAACTGGTACAACGACAAGAGCTTTTAGTTCACCTTGTGGATGAGGGCCAACTTGAGTCAAGATCGGCAACACGTAGCATAAAGTTTTACCAGACCCTAAGTTAATATTGTATACCGAACCGAATAGGCACGAACTGTTTTTAAAAAAAAAAATGGGGAAAACACTAGTTTAATCTCATTCTACTCACTTGATGTCTTCAAAAATAGTATAAGAGACACATCAAACTTTATAATATTTCATTCTTAAAAAAAGCATAACGGTATGTTTGGATTTCGCACAAAGTCCGCCCATCAAGCTTCTGCATTCAAATTCAAAACTTGCATTTTATCCAGATCCGATAAAGATCTCTTGCCCACCGACAAACTTTTCTTACAGAGATTTGTGGGGAAAAAGGCGAGAAAGGGCTCACGAAGACGGGAAAAAAGTTTCGGGAAAATCATACTCACCGGTAGGCGCGGAAATCGCTATGTCACGAGGCCGAATAACAGGAACTTTGACAATATCTTGAAGAAGACAAGGAAGAACTGCTTGCTGGATAGAGCAAAATTTCAACAAG